TTTTCCTTTTTACGCGGCGAAAAGAGAGATCATTTTTTTATTATTATTATTAACACAATACGACGATGACTCTTCTTGTGGTACGTTGTGTGGTCAGGTCCGTCAGCCTGGCACCCCGAATTCAAAATTTTTAATTCAAACCTTTTTAGATAATTAGTACCTAATTTGTAACAATTTGTAACACAAAAATTGGAATTTGTAACCCAAAATTTACCCCTGAAATCGACGTTTTTGAATTTCGGGGTGCTGGGCTGACGTCACTCTGGCACCCCGAATTCAACATTCTTAACTCAAACCTTTTTAGATAATTAGTACTTAATTTGTAACAATTTGTAACACAAAAATTGGAATTTGTAACCCAACATTTACTTCCGAAATCGACGTTTTCACTTTTCGTGTTGCTCGGCTCCTGGTACCCCAAAATTCAACATTTTGAACTTAAACTTTTTTTTATCAAATTTTTTATTAAATTATTATTTATTCAATAATTATTAATTATTATACTAAAATTGTTTATTAATATTATCTAACTATTAGGTAAAATTTATGAATAATTATTATTATCTTTGATTTTAGGAGTCGTCTTATTTTGAATATATATTTATTTGATTGAGGAAGTTGTGTTTTTTTTTATTATATCAGAAGGTGTAGTTACTATTTAGGTTATAATATTATTAGTCCAAAATCTAGACAATTATTCTTTGTATTTCCGAGTGAAACCTGATTGCGATCTGATTAGTATAATATACTCACCATTTTTCTAACACAGTTGAAACAGTAATTGGTGATCAAAGAAATTGTATTCTTGGTCAATATATTATAAACGATTGATATAAACTTTTGGGCGACGCAGTCAAAGTTTGAAATATGTTATATCATTTGTAATCATAAGTTACATATCTAAAATAATTAAACTCATCCTAAAATATAAAGTATTATTACTACACCTACACCTATTCGTTTTTATCAAAGAACGTCGTAGTAATTCTGAATTCACTAACCGCTGTTAGAATTTTTTTTGCCTTATCTACTAAATATTTACTATAGATAATAAAATGTAATATTAATTTTGTGTTTTATTTGTGAATGTAAGCAATACATTTTTTTTTGCACTACAGTATATGTTCTGTAGAATATGGATTAAAAAAAGTGGATGTGGTCATAGAGAAGAAAAGTGAATTAATGGAACACTCTCCAATCAAAGTATGAAAAAAAATTATAATTGTGTTCTTTCTTTATTTTATTTTTTAAAATCATAATTATAATAATTAAAAGTTGTTGTAACAGTATATTATTTTACCTTGTATAGAAAAGTATTTCTACGTTCACTTTAAAATTGTTCGATTTGGGAATTACTTGATCTTTTAAATCATCATAACTTTCCCATTGATCATTTGATCTCAAACCATAAGCAATGTAATGGCCATATGATTGCCTCAATTGCCTAGCTGATCCATCAAAAGCAATTACTCCTCTTAAATTATAAATGTTACCATTAATTATAATTCGTTTTGTAATGTCTTCAAGTTTCATCTTGACTTTACCCGCATAGTTTTGTGATATTTTAGTAGTATTTTCCATGTGACTGTAATTACCTGAAGCTCGAAAACCTGTAAATAATAAAACATGAACATAAAAATAATAATTTAATCAATACTCAATTTAGTAAAATAATTAAATATATAATAGTTACTGATTACAAAAATTAATTAATTTTTTTTTCAAGTAAGCATTAATGGTAAATACGAATGAAGGAATATTGGGATCTTTTCACCCATTACGCCTATGGTTCAAATAATATTTTTTTTTATTTACCTCTAGGTATTGATAAGAGTTCCAATAGAATGTGGTTAGTTGGTTCTGTAACCTCATCTCTTAAACAATTACAATTAGTAGCAATACATAACTCGGTCATTGGTCGGAAAAACTTGTCCATCTCTTGCTGTAATTGAATATTTCCATCAACGCCATATATTGTAATGACAACTCCTTCTGAATTACGTTCTGGATTAAAACATATACTATTTTGACAACGATTTGATCTTTTATATGATGGCATATTTTCCAGTAACTTTTCACTCATAGATGCAGCCGTGTCTACTGTGTCAAATAACCGTATACCTCCAATAATTTCTTCACTTTCTGTTATGAAATGCAGTGCCAGTAAATAAACGCGATCTCTGTACATATCCTTAGTTGGTCTATTACCAATCATTTTTGTTACAAAATCAGCTGTTTTATGTAGTTCTTTTCCTTCTGTAAAATATTTTCTGAAATTCTCACTCTCTGTTACAGAAACCGCTAAAACTGAAAAGATTGAATCAGCTGAACACGTATTGCTGAGCAACACTTTGTCGAAACCGGGAACGAATAATGGCTTGTTTTGAAAGCAGGAACCATTTCGTAGTAGGGCTATTTCATTAACTGGTTTGACATTATTTAATTCTAAATATTCAAATCCAGTCTGTTTGGCTAAGTATGATTTAGCGGAGCGTGATTTTAACGGCGATGTACAACCTTTATTTCTCCAATTTTCAATTGCATTTTTTTCTTTGTCCAATTCATATTTTGTACTGCACGACAAGCAAATTCTGTTTTGTCCGCATCCTTCTTCACTAGAAGGGTCTTCTACAGAACATCCAAATACTTGTACTGCCTTATTACATGTGTTACAGCGATGGAGACCTGTCGGAAAATCTCCATTTTGGCAGGCAATGCATTGAACCAAAGTATTTGTAATAATTTCATCTCGGTTTATTGTCTTACTAGATTTATCAGACGATAAAGAACTACAAACTGGTTCTTCAATTAAATGCACTTTACTTTATTCATCGTCTTTCTTTGTCTGAAGAATAAGATGATCACCTCTGTAGAAGTCTACTAATCGTTCAACAAAATCATCCACTCTAATCGGAAGGTTATCATTTTTAAAAATCCTGTTTTTTATATTGTTGAAATTGCTTTCAACTCTACTACTTGAAGCAATATTTTCACCATAGTTGAACACATTTACCATTATATTTGACTAACAAGGGAATAATTTCATACAGTTTATAATCATTGGGACTATTTCGGGAGTGTATTGGGCGTTGTCGAATTCTCCCTCAATCCCATCAATTTTTTCTTCACATTTTGTAGCCAACAACTTTGCCCAGTCCTTAAATGAATTCAATTCGTCGAATGAATCAAAAGAATCAAATTCCATTGTCTGTTGTTCATCACTGTTTTCTGATTCTATGATTAACGAATCTGCGTTGAAACTACTACTGCTAATTTTGGATTGTAGAAATACTTTGCTTAGTTTACAATGAGTATCCTGTTTTTGTTTATTGAAATTCGAAACAATAGGCCCATCATACTTGCTCATAGCAACTATGAAAATAGCTTCCAAGATTTGTTCTGCGTTTTTTATTGAATCACAAGTTATTAACAGTGCTAAAGATCTCACAAATAATTGTTTAGTGCGTTGATATCTTGCGTTTTTTAAGGGTTTCCATTGCGTTATTAAATGCACGAAATGGTTAACATCATTTCGTATAAAACATTGTGGTATTTCTATATCTTTATTACCGCGACACAATAAATAACATATTTGCAGATATTTTTCTAGTGATTCATATTGTGTAAACGCTTGTACAGTGGCCGACATTAAAGCCAAAGACTGGTCAGTTATAGACACTTTAGGTGGTTTTACTCCACATTGGATCCATCTCTTAAGCCAAACACTAATTGATATATTGTCATGTTGTTCGGACAACATTGATAATACCGAAAAATTTTGATCTTTTATCTTCATTATTCTTTCATAAAGAAAAATGGAGTTGCTGTAATTATTGCCATATCTTTTTATTTTCCTACATACACCACCTGTCGCGTCAAAACTAATCGTGGGAACTGCGCATTTTGTGTATTGTTCTTTGTATATTTTAAGTTGTAGATTTGTCCAAAAATGAACAAAAAATTTATCATACCCTAAATTCCTAATTGCACAATCATATTTATTTATTTGCTTCATGATACCAAGAGAATTTATAGGATCTTGGTGATGTCTTGATGAAGAGATCGCTTTATGCTTAGTCTGTCTAAGAGAAGCTAATGTCGGTAAATGAGCCGGCAGATTATCACCTGAAAATATTTAATTACAAAATCACCTAATGATTATTTATATAATATCTAATAATATAGTATAGGTACCAAATGTAAACAACAATTTTTTTGTGATTGAATTTTCGGTAATAATTGTGTATATTATATATTAACATGTCGAATAAAAATGTATCAAAGTAGGATAGGTTAATTTTTGATATTATGAGATGTGTTTAAAATATTTCATTATCATAAATTCATAACCCTAACTATAAGTACAGCAGAACAACTTCCCGAAGTTATTATTTTATTAAATTATTCAGTACATAGGTATAGGAACTTACCATCTATCATAAGTCGATTTGCTTCATTGCGATAGTAGACTGATGGACTTGTATGATAATCGATCATTTCTTTTATCGCTCTGTCTTTTTCAGAACCTATCAATCGTCGACGTTTATTATTACCATGGTTTTCATTATATGATCCGGTATAGGTACATTGCATTACCACTCTGTTTCAAATTAAAATAGATTTTTTTTTATAAATAATTGAGAATTCAAATTAAATATTTTAAAATTTACATAAATAGTTTACACAGTTGTGAATTTTAAAATGTTTTACATTTTCATAGTGGTGATAAGTTTTATGTAATATAAAAAAATATTGTTACCATATAATAATACGATTGAAGATAGATTGTATTTATATATATTAAGTGGCCTTGGGATGGGTCGATACCAAAACCGATACTAGATATCGGCCGATATCGGTGATATCGGTTTTATCGGTATCGGTTTTTTTTCAAAACCAATATTTCAACCGATATCAAAAAAAAAACCCATCGATCAGCATAGTATTGATAGTATCATAATTCACAAATGCACAGGTTAGGTTATCAATAATCAAATACTATAGATTATTTTATAATAGTCAATGTTTTCACTTTTCTTGGTAATATTATTTGTGTTATCAAGTATCAGTTTTATTATATATCGGTTTTATGGTGGTATCGGCTCATATTTTTTTGTCAAAAATGTTGTTTTAACATTTCCATATATTATCGGGTATCGGTTTTATATCGGCAGCATATATAAGAATATCGGATATCGGTAATAAGTGGTATCGGCCTATCCCACATATAGCTGAGTGGAATGATAATGGATAACGTTTAGTCCAATACTTCGCTTATTTAATTATTAAATATTTTTTTATACATCTATGAAATACTCCAAAAAATATTCTACACGAGTTTATAAAATGAAGATGAATACAATTACGGGTTAACAAAATTAAAAGGTCATTATCAAGGGAGTAACCGTTCAATTCTTAAAACTTACCTCACCTCTTATGGATACGTT